GGTGCAGTGTAGACGACTGCACATAGCAGTGTCGGGTGCAGTGTAGACACCATCGCTCATTGCATAGGTTACAGACAACAAAGGTGTTTGTCACTCAAAATATCAGGTAGTGTCAAGGTTGAAAAGGACAGTGAGATTTGTCAAGTATGTCCCGAGCCTACAAGCAGAACATACCAAAGGTGATGTCCTCAGGGTTTGATTTCTGATTTTGGGGGTTTTTTTGTTTTTGTTTTTAAAGGAGTTGTGGTTGCTGTTGTCGTATTTGTTTTTCTTACACCAGAGACAACATCAGGTAGAAAGAGCTCAGAATTTGCAATGAGGCCTAAATCTAATCCTGACTTATTGTTCGCTGTGCAGTCTCAGGTCAGTCCCCCAGAGGCTTCCCTTTCCTTACCTGTAAAAACTGCTGGGGTTTGGAAGATTCAGTGAAGTAGTATGTTAACCCCAAGATGGCCTAGAAAGGTGACAGAATGCCAGCCACAGTAGTGGTGGCAGCCAAACAGCAATGAAAATGTCCTGCACTGCACAGTAAAATGTCTACATGATAACATCCATGTTCTACAGTTAGCTCTGCTGTTAACTAAGATGGGGAGTCCTGCCCACTGAGAATGCACCATCCTGATTGGGTGGAGCAGGCAAGCTGTGCAGCAGCATGCATCGTTTGCTCTCCACTTCCTGACCAGATGCCATGGCAGAGTTCTCTGCAGCTCTGCCTCTATGACCTCCCACAGTGATGTCTGGAACCGAGAGCCAGAACAAACGCTTTCTCCCCTAAGGGACGCATTTATCGCAGTACTTATGACATGGAAGAAGCTAGGACCTGTCTAGCACACAGTTGGTACTTACTGTATGCTAACGTCCCTCCTGCCATCAGGAACAGTCAGACACAGCGGTGTGAGCCTGTGGTCCCCACTGCTGAAGGCTGAGGCATGAAGATCAGTTGAGACCTGAAGTTAAAGGTCAGCCGGACCAACATAATGTGATCCTCTTTCAGAAAAACCATGCACACAGTGAAAACTGGCTAGCGTAGACTACTGTGCTGATGACGTGAGGTGACTCCGTTTGGCTGTCCCTTGACAGCAACGTCTGAGCCTCGTTCTTACTTGGAACTCTGCTGCCAGAGTCTGAAACTAGAGCTTCCCTCCTGCTCTGACCACAGCTGTGTCTGCAGCTCTCAGTCTGCTCTTTGACCTCCTGTCTCTCCAGCTCTGTTCTCCTGGGTTGACAGATCCTTAACATACTTGCTTTCTCAGGCTCCAGTCAGCACATAACAGCCCTGCCTTCTCAGATGATTCCTCCCAAGGTCCAGTCCTCCTATTCATTTGTTCATTCATTCATTCATTCATTCATTCATTTTTCCCGGACTTAGATGTAAACATTGTTGAGAAAGTTTTCAAGACCATTAACATTTTAGGTAGAATATCCCCTTTAATGTAGTCACCTTGGGGAGTTGTATAACTTAGGGACAGTAGAACTGAATGTAGTGATGACCCACAGGGACATGTGGCTTGGTTACAGAAGTTGGGGTTGACCGTGAGGACATTGGCATGTCTGTCAGCATTGATCCTCTCTGTAAACTCCTTTTTCTCTTCATTGCAAATAGACAACTGTGCTCTTTCTTGCTGATTTTCTCTCTTTCCTAGGCCTGCCTGGATGATTTAGTCCATTCCACTTACTTTTAGATTAAATTCTTTTCCCTGTACTTTAAAAAGGGAGGAAACAACAGTAAAACTAAAGTGAAGACTGTGGGTTGATTTCAGTGAACAGAGGCAGCAGGGAAACCACAACAGTTGAGATGCTGGGGAGAGACCCTTTGGGCCAAAACTGTGGCTGCACTGAACCAAGTGTGCAGGCTCTCCTGGGTAAGAGTTAGCTGGTCAGTGCCGTGATTACTGTAGAGGGAGACACTTGGGCCTGACATTTTAAATTGGCAGTCTTTAAACGCCAAAATTCAAATAAGTTCTAGTTTCATCCGTACATTAGCTTGACTTTAATTAAAAGAGTTAGGTTGTGGGTTTTGTTCTTGGCCTTAAAATTGTTTTGCAGTTTTACAACCCCCTAGAACACCCCCGTTGGGCCTTTAAATAAGATTTACATTTGGTGGGTTAATGTCTCTGTGTTATGTCTCTAGACCATTCTTTCTGTCTGTCTGTCTTTCTTTATTAATGTGCTTCGTCTATCTGTTTAGTGTTTAAAGGTTCTTGTTCTTCTTACATTGGGGGAGGAACTTAAAGAGCAGAGCATTTACCGGATGTGCACGAGGCCGGCCCTGGGTTCAAAATGTAGCACCACAAAAATTACCTTTTTTCTGTTCTTTTTTTTTTTTTTATGCACATTGGTGCGTTGGTGCTCGGCCTACATATATGTTTGTGACATATGTTTGTATGAGGGTGTTTGTGTGAGATCGTGTCATTATAGACAGTTGTAAACTGACATGTGAGTGCTGGGAACTGAACCCTGGTCTTAGAAGAACAGTCAGTGCTCTCAACCACTGAGCCACCTCTCCAGCCCCAACACAAAAATTCCTTGTATAAGAAAGCCTCTTTTTGTTTACTTCATAGGCACTTTGAATTTTTCTCTGTCCTCATGGACTCACTGGCTGCTGAGTTTGTCCCTCAGTGTTTTCTGTTTGTTTGTTTGTTTGTTTTTTAAGCAGTCCCAGCTGGCCTTGAACTTCTTTTGCTGTGTGGTAAGACATTCTGGGGAGATAGAACACACACAGTACCCATGCCAGTTAGGGAGCCCAGAACAGACCAAAGTCAAACAGTGGTTTATTGGGATTGTTACAGGGATATGGATGAGAGGTTATTTACAGGAACAGAAATAAGTCAAAGACAACTGCATCACAAAAGCCTACCCCTGCATGGGTGACAGCTCACAGAAGCCGGGAACCTGGAGGAGGCTCAACAGGGTGGAGAGTGTCCTTTCCAGGTGACTTATTCTAAAACTCTTCCAGGCAGCTGGGCTGGTTTCTTCCCCCCCACCCCCCAGCTGTTCTGGTCTGCCATAGCATTCATTTCAGCTTGGATTGTCTGAGAATGACTCCAGGCTTCATTATTTACCTTTGGGGGGGGGGGAACCTAGTGAATCTGGTCAGTTTCAGGGACTTCTTGTTTTGAGCTATTGACCATCTAGTTTGAGAAGTTCCCTACAGGATGGAATATTTCTCTCTCAGAGGAAACTGCTACATTACTACGTCTGATCCTCCTGCCTCCATCTTCTGCATGTTGGGATTGTGGGCATGCACCACCACACCTGGTTAATGTGGTTCTGGCGATGGAGTATGCTAGGCAAGCTGTGCTGACAGAGCTACATCTCCAGACCCGCATGTGCCTTTTCAGTATTCATGGTGGTCACAATGTATAGAGTTAGGTTTAACTTAATCCATCTGTACAGGAGCTGAAGAGGTGGCTCGGTGGTTAAGAGCACATTGCTGCTCCTGCAGAGAGGATCCTGGCTTACTCCTAATGACTGCATGTAACTCCCAACTGTCTGTAACTGTCTGACCTCCTCTTCTGACTTTTCCAGGCACTACACACACATTCATGTAGCCAAAACACCTTTTTAAAAAGCCGGGTATGGTGGCACCTTTATGAGTCCAAGGTCTTCAAAAAACAAACAAACAAGCAAACAAACAGTATAACACATGGCTGTCTCAGAAGTTAGGTTGACCGGATGAGAATTACAATGTAGTCTCTGTCCTGAAGACCTGGTGGATCAGTGAAGAACCCAACTTAAACACTGTAAAGTAAAACATTTAGATAATAGTTCTGACAATAAAGAAAAACTGATAACCATATTAATTGGAGCCCATAATGACTACAATTTAGAGAACAGAGTCATTTTACTTTTGCCCACGTTTATCAAGGGAAGCTGTACTGTGTGCATGGAATTTGAACTTAGTTTTGAATATGAGTAAGTTTTAAGTAAAAAAAAAAAAACAACAACTACCAAATCCAGATTTTTGTGCATGTATTTTACAGAACTGTCTTTTTTTTTTTTTGTCCCCTTAAGGAAGAAAAAAAAAATCTTTATCTGAATTACTCCTTTAATTATATTTGTTATTCAGTACAAGAGTAAATTCTTGCCTGTGTTTGCTGGGTCAGTTGCCTTCAGTTTCTTCTCTCTGTGCTTTTGTTCCAGACCTCCTGATTTTCAGTTGCTGAAGAAAGGACAAAGGTTTGTTCCAGTCAGTTTCACTGACGTGAGTGGGCCAGGTGGCGTGAACACTTGGACTTCCTGTGCTGGTTTGCTACAAAGAAACATGTGACACTTCAGCATTTTCCTTTGTGAGGGAAAGATGATTTGTTTGATCTGTCTGATTTATTGTACAGCTGTCCCGTTGAGGAAGTCTAATTGAAGCTGTTGAAATAGACACAAACACAGCCTCTATCTCAGACACTGCTCCTTTATTGGTGAGGTCGTGCCCATTGTATTTGGAGAAAGCGTTTTATGGTCTTGTTTTAAAGGATTTTAAGATATTAATGTGTTAATTATTTGAAAGACTATCTTAAGTATCAATATGAAGCACAGGCTGTAGGTTTTTGGGTTTTAGTTTTTGGTTTTGCTAATCTCACCTCACAGTTCTTCATGGTGTTGTTTGCTCAACTACAGCTGTCTCTCAGGACAGGTCCTCACTCTCAGATTAAATATCCTTGGCTGCTAATCACTGCTTTAGTCACAAGGTATTGAGCACAAATACAAGATCCTTGTTTATTGATGGACACCGTTATGGCTAACTGCCTTAAAACCTCAAGAGACTGAATGGGAGATAAAAGACTATGAAAGTTTCTTTCAACTTATAGCTATTTCATTTTTTTATATGTGTAAGTGTTGCCTGCATGTATGTTGATTCACTATATGCTTGCCTGGTGGGCACAGAGAGGTCAGAAGATGGCGTTGGATCCCTGGAACTGGAGTTAAGTGCAGTTGTAAACCCCCTGGGTGCTGGGAATTGAACCCAGGTGCTCTGAAAGGGCAAGTGATCTTAACTGCTGAGCCGTATTTCCAGCCTATAGTCTAATTTCTTAAAGTTAAACTTTCTTCTTATCCAAAAGTTACTTGCCTGATGATATAGGTTAGTTTCTAGCTAAAAACCACATGTGATCCTGGAATTTTGGAGATTTTGATCAATTTCTGTATTCCCACTAGGACTTGCTTTCAGCCTTTGCTTTCTACTTCCTCCTCCACGTGTTTCTAGACCAGGCCTCAAAGCTCTGCCAAGCAAGCGTGTCTGAGGACAGTTGCTCTTGTGTGCTTGTTTGCCTCAGCATGAACTGCTTTGTCTTTGCTCCTTCAAAATTCTTAATCTGATTTAAACTGAATCTGAAAATCAAAAGGTGCAGTCATAGTACAGCTGTTATCGTATTGTTTGCATTTGTGAGCTCGCAGATTTAAATATCTCTTTTGAATTGTGTTGGTGAGCCAGTCATTATCTGTTATGACTTTTGTATTTTTTCATTGCATGAAATTTTCTGTATAATGGTCAGCCGGAACAAGAAAATATTAACCTTTTTCCAAGCAAAAATCAAAATCGTTGAACAGGATAAGTCATGGTGTTTACTATACTGCTTTAAGAATTGTAAATTGTTAAGAACACACAAAGGAAAGCTGGAAAAGAACTCTGTCAAACATGTGTTAGATATAGAGAAAGGAAAGCCTTCTGAAATTTAAGTGTGAGAGTATAAAATGTAAGGCTGTGGCTAAGGGACAGAAATTCTTATCTTGGGAATTCCAGAGTGTACCTGCGGAAAGCTTCAACTTCCATTGACATGGTTCTGATGGTCTCTCCTTGTACAGCGGCTCTTCTGGAGAAGTAGTACAGTTCTTCAGAGACGCCATTACCGTAGCAGATGTTGATGCGCAGTGTGAACCTGCTTCTTCCAGCTCTAGGAGTGAGTGTGCCAGTGATGAGGAAGAGCAAGGCTTTGTTTCTTCTATTCTACCAGGAAACAGATCAAAGGCAGTGGATACAAGACCACAGCCACACACAAAAAACAGCATAATGAAAAAGAAGGCTGCTCAGAAGGTGAACTCCAAGCAGGGAGATCAGACCGTGTCCGAGGTTACTGAGAAGTTGGATAATTGCAGATTAGATAGCCAGGAGAAAGTGGCCACTCGTAAACTTCCTTTAAAAAAAGAAAATACTCAGATTTCTTCACCTGACCCTTTGTGTGACACATTCAACACTTCCACAGTTTCTGAAGATAAACACAGTGTATCACAAGTTACTCTTGTGGGCATAAGCAAGAAGAGTGCTGAGCACTTCAGGAACAAATTTACCAAGTCTAACTCAGGCTCTGGGTCAGCCTCTGGTTTGGTGCAGGTACGTCCTGAGGTGGCGAAGGCAAACTTACTCCGAGTTCTAAAGGATACCCTGACTGAATGGAAGACAGAAGAAACACTGAAGTTTTTATATGGCCAGGACCATGATTCTGTGTGCATGAAACCCTCTTCAGCCTCGGGGCCTGATGAAGAACTTGATGAAGATGACATAAGCTGTGACCCAGGGAGTTGTGGTCCTGCCCTGAGTCGAGCGCAGGACACCCTGGATGAGACACTGCCCTTTAGAGGCTCAGACACGGCCATTAAGCCGCTGCCAAGTTATGAGAGCTTGAAAAAGGAAACAGAGATGCTGAACCTGAGGGTCAGGGAGTTTTACAGAGGGCGCTGTGCTGTAAATGAAGATACTACCATGTCTCAGGGCTCAAAAGAGGTATGTCTCCATGATGAGTGTCCCCATGATAACTGTTTTAGGCTGCTCATATTTAGAGAACTCTGCAGAGCAAACGGGGAGCATGCCTCGTGCTCTGCAGCGGAGTAGATCGATTGCCTAGTTAGATGTTTCTCTAGGTGATGTTTAGTTGGTATCTATTTGAAATGTTACAGATATGGCTGGGGGCCGGCTTACTGAGGAGCTGGGTTCAGATTCCTAGCACTAATAAAAGCTAGGCACAGCTTACCCACTCTGTGTCTGTTAGGCACAGCCAGACAGGGCGGCCAGAGAAGGTGGATTCCAGGGGCTCCTTGATCAGCCAGTCTAAGGGGATATCTCCAAGTTAGTAAAAGACTGTATCTAAAAGCTAAGATGGAGAACAGTGAGAGAGGAAGACTACAGCATTGCTGTCTGGCCTCCACATGCCCATGATTGCACACATGCACATGTTTGAACACCTCACAAACTTACAAGATGAAATGTTACAGATGAAAATACAGTAAAAGAACTTACTGGGAAGAAATGGATATAGATATTTGAATATCTGTTCTTTCATCTGTTAGCTTTTTAAAGTTCTTTGATGCTACTTATCTGTAAATGGAACTTCCATTGCTCATTTGTTCAGTGCGTGTCACACTGATAACACAGTTCACAGTCATGCATAAAGGCTGAGTGCGTGCTGAGAGGAAGGAAGAACTGCAGAATGTTACCATTCGTATTTTTGGTTCATATGTACTATCTGGGAATCATATTGCCATGAAGAAAAGAGTGGATAACAGTCTTATTTTTTACCATATAATTGTTATTAAGTTATAAGTGATGTTGCCCCAAGATTAAGAACACACTTAGAGATTTGGAGAGGTGAAGTGGAACTAGAAAAAAAAATACAGAAATTTCTTGCATCTTTACAGAATTTTTGTCTAGCTTCGGACCATATCTGAAACCCCAGTATTAATATTAGATAGTATCCAAAACTTACCTTAAGCTAAAGGAAACACTAGTCTCTCCTGGTGAGCTGCATAAACCACCGTCACGAACTGGTTTTTGCACTAAGACGCCTTTAAAAAAAAAAATGAGTGTCTAAAGTATATGACTTTGTTGTAGAACATTTTACAGCTTTTTCATTGGCATTTAATATCAAGTGTGCGTATTGTTGACTATTTACACTAGCACCCCATGACATCACTCTCCAGACCAGGAGGTGCTTCCTTACACGGAAACTTGAGCATCGGTGTCTGTCCCTGACTGTTACCTCTTTGCAGTCTTACTATCATACATAGTAGTGGAGATTAACTTTGCCACTTTTTGAACAGCCTATCTTTGTTGTCCAATTTGTTTAATAACACCATGTGGTTTTGTTTGCTTTGATTCTAGGCGTCCGTGCTGTTGTGTATTCCTGTAGTTTATGCTGCATATAGACTGCACAAGTGCAGTAGTCCCAAGTCCCCAGCCCATGTCCCATGAGCCCTAAGCCTGCCTTTTGTGTGACTCTCCTGATGGAAAAGAAATGTCTTTTTACCAACAATCTAAGGAAAGCTTCCATCTAGGTCTGCTTTGTAAGACTGAGTATGCTAGGGTTACAGATGGGCTGGCTGGGTAGCCGCAGCTGCATCATTGAAAATCCGCCAGCACTGGGTGATAATTACTAAGGCTGCTCCCAACAGCAGCCAGCCTTCCATCTCTTACATACTCTGGAACCAAAGCCACATGTAATAGGAGGGAAGTGGTGGCCAGGATCAGAGATAGGAAATGTTCACTGCTTCCTCACCATTGTCAGAGACCCAGCTGCCATGACTACAGCCACAGGTTTCATTGTGCTTCATGATAGACACTGGTCACAGTGTCACCAGGGAGAATGGCCCTTGGTACACCACTGCCCAATGAGTGCTTTGAAATGCTCTGTTGCTCAGTTCTGCATCTGGTGGCTCTTTCATATAGTTCCAGTTGTCTGCTAAAAGTTTCAACTGTCATTTTTCTTTGAAGATGTTAAATGTCTTTATATGGCATCACACAGTATAACATTTAACAGTAATATAATTTTGCTATTGTCTTATTTTATTAGACATCAAACATTGTCTATTAACATGTTACAAGCTGAATTTGGTGGTGTGTGCCTATAATTCCAGTGTTTGGAAGGCTAAGGCAGGAGCATGAGTTTAAAGCCAGGCTGTTGCACATTGGAGACCCTCACCTGAGATGCAGGACAGTGTTACATCCTCTAGGATGGATCTGTTCATCCCTAAAGATTTCCAGCAACCCATGTCACCATAACCTGATGAGGACCTGAGGGGACTTAGTGGTGGCAGCAGTCCTCACGAGTCAGTCTACTACAGAGTGTGCTCCTTCCAAGTCTGTTTCCAACTGGGGAGCATGACCCGGAACCCTTCTCATTTGGCATGCCCTGACCTATGATTCCATTAGAAAATCTCCGCTGAGGTTCTCAGTATCTGAGCTGCCTCTTCCAGGCTTAGCCCGGCAGTCTCCAGGATTCCTCTCCAGGATCAGTCCGGGTTCCTTACTACCTTGCTAGCTCTGTGCCACTTTCCAACAAACAAGATGCGTTTTGTTTGGTTGTGGGTTGGTTGGTTGGCTTTCCTTCCAGCTCCCTCATTCCTAGTTCATTGGAATGACCTTACCCCCTTCTGGAAACACTTCCCCACAAATAGTAATGGGGACGTTAATCCTTAAATGTACATTTATAACGAGTTTAGTAGCTGACCCTCCAAAGAGGACAGATGGGTGGCAGACTCATCACCTGATAGTGACTTAAGCTGATGCTCAGGTTTAAATGCTTTAGTTCTCAAACTCGTTTTCTGTCCTAGAAGAGTAAACATTTCTATTTCATGTTATTGCTCTACTCATTTAAAAAAATGTTTATTTCTCTGTTTGCTTTAAGAATGTGTTTCAGCGTGATCTCAGCTTCCCACTGATTGATTCAAGTTCCCAGAACCAGATTAGAAGACGGATTGTTCTTGAAAAATTGAGAAAAGTGTAAGTATGGATGTATCATTGTGACTTTTTAAGAAGTTTAAATTAACTCAGTATTTTCATGAATTTACAATTTATAAATATTATCCTTGAATTCTGAACAGTTTTTAATTTCCTTGCTTGAAAAATTTCCATCTTAAGATTTATTTTTCAGATATTTTTAGTAACAAATTATTTTTGTAGATGACATAGGAATGTCATAAATGAAAAAAGTGAGATTGTAGAATAGAAAACCAAACTACCCCACGCCTTCCTAAGCCAGCAAAGAAACACCTGCTAAAACAAGCCAAGGGAGCTCTGCCCTTGTGGACATTGCCACAGCTGGTTGGCTTGCTCAGCATGTCTGCATGGTCATGGGCCTATTTCACACCCAGGAACATGAATTTCATTCAGTTCAACTTGCACTTTGGCTTGAAGTGCTCTGTAATGGGAAGGATTGTTCTTAAAATCAACCCATTCACAAGTAACGCTTAAAAACTGCCTGTTTCTGTTTAAAACAAAGCAAAGTTAGCAAATCTTTTTCCAGAGTTAAAAGATCTACCTTGAACTTTCCAACCTGCAGTTTCTTTCCTTTTTTTTTTTTTTTTTAGCAAGAAAACATGAAGTGTGTTAATCACTGTTTGGAGTTAAAACAGTCTTGAATAAGATGATTCAAAGGGCAGTGCTTTCATAGTGAAGCTATAGAATTAAAGGTGCTGACAGACTGACAGCAGCCAGAGTGGTTTTGCAGTCCAGGCCTTATTGTCTGTAGCACAGACTGAAGCAGCAGCAGGGGCTTATGTGAATCGTGCTTTGACTTCTCATTAGTCATGAGGTAGCTTAACCCCTGAGACCTCCTCAGTACCACTGTTGGCCCTGAAAACCCCAGAGGTAGGCACAATACGTCATTTTTTTTGTTGTTGTTGTTCTTTTCTCCTCAGATTGCCTGGACTTTTGGGTCCTCTTCAGATTACAATGGGAGATATTTATACTGAACTTAAAAACCTCGTTCAGACTTTCAGGTAAGTGTTAGTGTTATAATTTTTCCTTCTCGGTTACTAGCTATACTGACTGTCTTGCGCAGTGATGGGAACATGAGGAGAGGAAGGGATTGACCTTTGTGGACTCAGCTTAGACTCAGTAGTGTTCCCTTTTGTTTCTGTTGAACACATCTCCTTATTGGCTCGAGTTCTGACACATTTCACTTTGGATAGCTTGCGTGTAAAGTAACTTAATTTAGGAGGGAGATTACAGGATGAACAGAGGTGACTCTGTCAGTAGGAAGCCAGCCTTGTGAGCACAATAACCTGAATTCAGCCCCAGATTCATGCCAAGTTTAAAAAATGAAAAAGCTGGCATGATCGTGCTGATAATCTTAGCGCTGAGGAGGTAGAGGCTAGCCTAGGCTACTTAGCAAGTTCTAGGCCAGAGGGAAAAGACCCTGACTTAGAAATGGTGGACAACACCTGAAGAACTAAACCCAAGGTTATCCTTTGACCTCCCCACACAAACACACAAACAAACCTCTCCATACATACATACATACATACCTCCCCACACATATATACACACACAAACCTCCTCATACACACACACACACCTCCCTACACATACATATACACACAAAAACCTCCCCACACATACACAAACCACAAACCTTCCCCCATACACACACCTCCCCACACAGATATCTACACATATATACACATGGACCTCCCTATACATATATACACACAGACCTCCCCACACATACATACACAAACCTTCCCACACATACACATACAAAGGAAAATTATGTCTATGACACAAAGCTAGTAGCATTGAGTTCAGTGTAATTGTAAAGTGTGCACTGGATGAGCAGCTCTGTGGTAAGCCTTGGGTGATGCAAAAGAAGCACTGCTGATGGAGCCTCGGGGAGGGCCTCCCTCGCCTGGGACAGCATAGATGACTCTAGCGAGCAGCCGAGGACAGAGTGGCTTTTACTGGATCATGAAGACGCTGACTACTGAAAACTCCAAAGACAGGATAGAAACTTTGCACCTTGGAAAATGAAGCAGTTGAGTTTCCTAGTTGATAAAACATGCACCTAAGGACAGTCTCAGTGAGATGTCCATATTTGAAAGTGAATGTTTAAAAATAAATCTGAGTAACATGATTATTCTTGTATTTTTGGTTGTGAGCCTAGCCTTTAACGGCTGAGCCATCTCTTGAGCCCAATGATTATTCTAATTATTGATGTTGTTATTGTCAGTTGTCTTAGAGATAATACAACTTAAAGATCATTGATTGTACAAATCAGGGATGCCAGAGTGGTCTTCAGATTGGCATAGGCCTTTGGAAAATTAAGTGCTTTGTATAAAAGATTCCAGGCCAAATATTTAAAAAGTTGAGTTTTCTTTTGTATCCCAGTTGATGATGGAATCAGACCCACCTTATGTCTCTGGCAGAGCCATCCATACAAAGGGAAACATTGACAGTGATGGTGAGGTTGGGTTAGAGTCCACAGTGCAGACCCAGGACAGTGATGGTGAGGTTGGGTTGGA